CTTTTTTGGCCCGATAATCCCGAGCTGGCTGCTACTGTATCTTGCGAGTCCTTTGAGCGAGCGTGAGTGTGTGGGATTGCCAGTTGAGATAAACGTCAGCACGTGCAAATAAAGCATTAAAACAGCCGGCCACATATTACGCCAAAGACAGTGGGGGCATTTGCCTTGACCGCAATGACTCAAATGACGAACGGCAAGGGGCATCCTGCTCTCCAGGATCCCTTGTTGTGGGTCCTGACTTACGCAAACAGTAAGTCAGCCGGCGCACACAGAAGCAGAAGCCCACACATCTGAGCGTCGGCAAGGACGCACGTCTCAAGTTTATCAAAGAAAAACGAATGGGAAGCCAAAAAAAAAGACAGAAAAGGAAAAAATAAAAGAAAAACGAGCAAGCGCAAAAAGCTACAAAGAGCACGGGAAATCCAAGGAAAAGCAGTGGTAACAGGTCAGGCCACACTTAATTCATTCGTGATTTATATGAGTCGCTTTCGGGGACTTAAAATGTGGTTACAGCTTTTGGCTTTCGCTTTGGCTTTGGCTTTGGCTCTCTGGCTTTCTGGCTTCTTTGGGTCTCTTGCTAAAACTGACGAAACTATGTGTGCGGTCTGCTTTGGCCCAGAGATTTGCCTGCGCTCAATTAAAAATTCCCCTTGAGCTGCTCAAAATTCAATTGAAATTCCCCTCGGTCCTCGACCTTAGCCAAATTCATTCCCTGATATTCTCGACAAAGTCGAAAGCCAGCAAAACCGCTGATAAAATGCATATATATTTCTCTGGGCCGAGAGACTTTTGGCTTAGCCTGTGAAAACAAGTTTTTTGGCTAGCTGCCGCCGTTCGGCATTTTGTCACTTTGACAAAATTGTTTGGTACTTTTCTCGCCGGATTCGGATTCGGCTTCAGATCCTGACTCTCCCCCATCCTCTTACCAACTCGTTCCGATCCCAACTTGTCGTTCAAGTGACATTCAATTATTATTTTAGCCAGGCAGTGCACAAACTTTCCAACGAAACTCAACTAAACGAAACGAAACGAGATGCTGCGACAAACGACAATATTGTTAGAATGTATTACAGTCAGACAAATGTCCGACAGTTATACAGACATATATATAAATCTACATATATATGGGGGCACAGGGCCCATAATACGTATTTGCGCATTAAATTCCAAACTTTTCAAATAGTTTTGTGCCAAATAAAATCAAAACAAAATCTACAAGAAAATAAAAACAAAAAATTGCCCATAAGTATGTAAGGCTGTGTCTGCGTATATAATAAAATGAAAACTTTTAAATTACATTTTCAATGAGAAACGCTGAGACAGTGAGAAACTGAGACTCAGTCTCCATTATACGGCTTAGACAGGCATTTTAACTGATTAAAACAAAATTGAGGGAGTTTTTCAGGAAAGTTTTACAGCAGCAGCAAGATATTTTGTACCTGCACTCGTCGCCTAGGATTTTCTTATAGTTTTAGGGGGCACTTTACAGCAAGAAATGCCGATAAGAACCAGCAGAGTGGTCGTCAGTGCTTTACTGAATAAATGTTGATAAAACGCAGTTATAAATGTCAGTCGAAAATGATACTGAAGTGAACTAGACAGCTGGTTGCTTTAGATATTCATAATATTATGAAAATAAAAGTTTCCTTTTTTGCGACCTTTCTATTTTTTGAACCAATAAATTCAGAGTCTCAGCTAAGATATTTGATAAATCTGCTTTAATATATTTGAAGTAATTTATAAAAAATAACAATTTCCAACCTGAAGTCAAGTCTCACTTTTAAAAACCCTGTTTAATCCACGTAAAATATGAGCTTGCAAAAATAATAAATATGTGGCACCCGTAAAAACCTTTATTCGTATACCCACAATGTGCAAAAATCACGGGATCGTTGAAAAGTTTGTGCTCGATTTCGCAAACAATTTTCCCCTAGCGGAGCTTAGGTAAATTCCGAACTGTTTGCAAATGCAAATGCGAGTGGGAGTTTCTTATTTTTTAGCCGGATAACTCGTAATTTGGACTCGAGGCTGCCGCCCAAAAAGCGTGCAGCTTAAGATTAATGACAGCGACGTAAATGTCAACGCAGGATGAAAAACAAGCCCAACTTTTAGCCAGCCGCAACGTGTGGCAAAAACAATAATAAAGCCGAGTTTTTGGAGGGGCATGCAGAGGGAGGGGGTTGGAAAGGGGGGTTGAACCGGAGCGATGCATGGCTTCCGGTTTTTGTTCGCGCTCTGGTATTCGCTGCCACGCCCAGTTCCTGGCGCCGCCCCTTCAGGCCAACTCCTTGCCAACGGCATTGCGTGCTCGAGTGTCACATATGCACATTTTATTTATAAACTTGCAGTAAAACAACAGCGAAAAAAAGGGAACGACTCCGCGGAATGCAATGCCACCTCAACGGGCAGCTCCTTTATGCTCCCTGCTTTTTACTCCCTTTTTACTCCTTTCCTCCGGCGATAAAGTCCGTGAAATGCTTATCATGCCCAAACCGGATGTGCACAGTGTCAAGCGGCAGAAGCAAAGCGTTTTTATATCCCACGATAGTTTAATGCATAATTGAAAAGCACGCAAAGTGAAACAATAGACCGAGCCGAACGGTTCAGCTGCGCGGCTCAGTCTCAGTTTCGAACGAAGGCCATTTAACCCATTTCCGACGGAGTCAGGCACACACAACGCAAGTGTATCGCCCTTAAAATACTTCTTTAAATTAAGGTTCCCATAAATTCCTGGAAACAGATAAACATTTTTGTTGGCAGCCAGAACTTTTATTTGCACAAAACGCTTTTGATACGGCAAATGGAGAGATAGAAGTGCTTTTAATAACTCTCGCACATTAGGTTTAATTTTGGGAAATGTTATATTTTTTTTTTTGTTATTTATTTATTTATGTATTTATTTTATTTCGAATTTATTGCGTTTAATTTAGGGAAACTTGTAAGGAAGTATTAAGAATTTAATTTTTGAGTTCTAGGCAATTATTATTCGTTTATTACCAAAACATAATGACATTAGCACTTGTCTCAAAAAACTTTCTCTGCGCTGTGAAGACAGCTTAGGGCTGTTCAAAACGTCTTAGTTCTAATTGAATTTTCTGCCTTGCCGGCAGCTTTCTAATAGCTTCCCATTGGCCATGTAAAACACAAATTAATGGCAATCAACATTTCTGCCCATTTGCACTTGTTTGCACTTGATAATGGAAATTATTTAATATTTACGGGCTCAATTGGGCACGAAACAATTGCGCTAATGAACTGTGTAATTTCATTTGAACGGTGGCGGTGGAAAGAAGTCGCATCAAGTGAAAAGCTTAAGCGAACGGAGGGAGGCAATTGTGGCCGTAATTGAATGGCGCTTAGCAAAACCAAATCGCAGCTTTATGTCGCTCTTTGGAGGCACTTGCCAAGTGCGGAGAACAAGTGGCTGTCAGCCGCCATCCGGCATAAACTGCACAAACAAAGCGCGTTTAAGAAAATGTAAAAATACTGCCAAAGTATGCAAAGCTGCTCGTAAAAACACTCGAAACTACGTGCATGCAGCTCAGTTCGTCCTGCGTCCTTCGTCCTTGAGTGGGAATTTTGTGTGGAGCTTGAAACTTGGTAGTTGCTTAGCTGCATCCTTCCATGACCGGTTTCCTTCCTGAAAATCCATCAGCGCTAATTTTGCATATTTCAGATAGCATTTTTTCTTCGGTCTCTGACTAGCAGCTCCTTTCATTTCACTGCACTTTATTCGCCTTTGTTTGGCTAAGCCGGCTTGTGACTTGTGTTTTGTGTGTTTTGCCAGCCTCGAAAAGCCCGAGGATATTTAAGTTATGCAGCGTCTGGAGAAAGGTCGTCGGGATCTGGGGATCTCAGCATCTCGGCATCTCGGTATCCTGATGATGAATTATGTGCGCCACGTACGTTATTAATAATTCCTGTGCTGTCAACAAATACATTGTCTTGTGCCGCAATGTCTACTACCCACGCAGGGCCACATTGCGTATGCGTGATATGTTTGTAGGGGGTTTGGGGTCCCAGAACTAGGCATCATCTAAATTTATTGGCCATCTTGTTGTGCAGCCACCGAATTCGAATCGAGAGTCCCCCGACGACCTACGCAATCTGTTTACAATTCCGACGGGGATGCCGTGTATTACAGCACAACCCATTCGCTCATCACGCATACGCCGTGTATTACATCATGGCAACTGTTTGTCTGCCCACTGTTTACAATGTACCGAGTAGTCTACGGTGACTCTCGAGTGCCAAACGTAATGGGTGGAAAAATTCAACTCAATCAATTACCTGGACAACACACTCGGCCAGTTGAACATGTGTAATTGATACGAGTCCTTAAAGGTGTTTTGTGTTATTTATGTGGCTACTCCTTTGCCCAGCCTCGCGTGCAAACACTTTCGTCTGTGGAGTGTGCGATGTGTTAACAGGGCCACTTCATTTCGGCAATTAAACGGTTACATTGTGTTTTGCCTACTTCTCGGGACGAGGGAATTAAGGGCCGGCATTCGGCAGATAAATCATCTGGCAAATCATCAATTTATTAATGGCAATAGCTTTGGCAATGGCATCACAATGCTGGGGAGAAATTAGCTAATTATTCGGTGGTCGGCAGTTTGATGATTAAATATTTCATACGCTCCGACTGACACCGAGTTTGTCCGGGCAGAAATCACAAATGTCTGGCGATTTCCCCCGGGCTCCTTTGGCCCAAAACCAAACACTGCAGCATTAATTAAATATTTATGCACCATACACAAACAAACAAACGAACAGACAACATACACGAGGCCAAACAGAGCGCAACAAATAAAGACGGTCAATTCGGTTACGGCACGCTGACTCAAGGAGCAACAAGGATATATATTCACATTTACATACACAACAGACGTACTTGAACTCGTTCATGTCCTCACATTCACTCGCCTTTATTTACCGCCTTAACATGTAAGCTCAAGACAATGCAATAAAGTTGAAATTAGTTCGGGCCATAATTTCAGGTGAACATCCGGAGGCAATGCAAACCGGCTCATCCGGTTGTCAGTACAATTGGCTGACAATCGTCCTGCTCCTGGGCCTCGTCCTTTGCTACAGCCAGCAGTGCAGCTCCGGTGCAGTGGCAGCCTCATTAACATCGCCATTACCATTACCATCACTATTACCATTACCGGCGGCAGGGACAACAACAGCAACGGGAGAAAGTGCATCCAGTGAAAGTGTGGCAGCCGCAACAGAAACAACAACAACAGCTGCAGCTACGACGAGAAAGCGGTGTCCTGCGGTCAAAAGTTGTCGCCAGGCCACCGGCCAGCTGCTGGCGAAAAGGTCCTGTCACAGATGATCAACTGAAGGCCACAGCAGCCCCAACTAAATATAGTAATTTAGGGAGCCACATGAAATGTGTGCGAGTGAGTGTTCGGCTAAGTATCCACTGAGTGTGTGAATGATCGTTTGAGTGTTGGCCATTCGGTCGTTTTGGTGTGTCAGTTTTAAACTTGTACTCAAAAACCACATTGCAGAACATTGGCGCAGTAATGGGTTTAATTTAGTCTAACTATTGGCATTTTCTCTAAGATATTTAAGAAGGATTTTTTATTTAATTTAATTTGGTTTTATGAAAAAAACTTGTAAACATTTCCTTAATCAATATTTATTTTTAAGCAACCTATTTGAACTAACTATTTTTGTATTATTTATCGCTTAAAATTTTACTACTATTTTGAATAATTCTTAAAAACTGAGAGATGATTGACAATCTTTTATCTATAAACTATCTGTTTCATTTGTATTTATGGATTTCATATTTTCCTGCTTGATAAACCAAATCTCTTCATTAAATACTGTTAATTGCAATATAATATCCATTGAAATGTCTCCCAACCTTTTCTTGCTGCCCAAGCCGTTGTGAAGCGATGTATTTATATAAATAAAACTATATGTAAGCCTATTGATTACAATTTAATGTGTATATTTAAACAAAATCAAAATTTATGATTGGGTGTGTGTAAATAACAAACTTAAATATAATTACGGCATAACCGAATCGAGGCAAGCAAAAAAATGTGTATCACAAACATAATATGGGAATGAGTAATCTCTATGGCCAGCGGCGCTGACTCTTTTAATAAATTAATGAATAATCAAATAAAGTGCAGTGTACAGTGCAATTGCCGGGCTCAATATTAAATAATTAGATAAAAACGTAGACAAGCCAAATAGCAACAATATGAGAGCAGCAGTGAGTCATAAAACATTTAAATTGATTGCCATATCATGCAAATATTTGCACTGCGCAATTTTCCGCCAAACCAAATGTAAATTCGATTTTCTGCTTTATTCACCCACGCAAAATACAATTTATTTAATTTTTTTGTTGCATTGATTTTAATGTCAAAGTTTCATAATTGACGTTAAACCAGCCTGCCACATTTCAAAATGATTAATAAATTCCTCCCAATATTTATCTAATAGTTTCTTTAAAATTGCTGAAATATTTGCAACACTCTGTTTATTTTGGCAATTTTTAAATGTCACATCCAGCTGACATTATTTCCTTGGCTTTATAATGGTTTCCCATTAGTTTTGCAATCTTAATTAAAAATTGTGCTGCCGTGTTAAATGACCACCCATTGCGAGTAATTTTCAATGGCTATATTTTCAAACTTTAATTACAATAATTGGCAAAAAAAATACAGCAAATATAAATATAATTAAATAATTGCTTGCAATAACAAAAAGCATTCCTATTTCAATTGATTTAATAAACCATAAAAATGTACAAAATTCAAACATCAAATTCGATTTCTGGCCCTGTGAAAGAAATAACATAAAATGACTCTATTGACATGCCGCAAATATTATAAATCATAATTGTTTTAATTATATCACAACAATTTCATTGGCACACTTTATACAGGTCCGCAAATTAACTAACATTTGCCATTCAAATCGAGCAATAACCAATTCAAACTCATTGTGAACGCCAGCCCAATTAAAATGTGATGTGATTTCCCCCATCTTGTGTTTGGAAACAATTATAATGAAACATAATTCCGAATTATGTTATGCCACTTTGTTTGCTGCAAAACTAATTTTATTAATTTTCGTTAAGCTTTTAAAATAATGTTAGTATAAGCCGTCTTTACGAGCGTTTTATCTAAAAATTGTGTATAAGAGATAATGGTATTTTCCACCATGCACTAAAATAAAACGTTAATTTATGTGGCTTCCTTATTGAATTATTCTCTTCCTTTTCAGCTGCATTCCAGATAATTTAAATGACCGGAAATCATGAACAGTTTATCAATTTAGACTTGGTTTCAAAGATTTACATTTTAAATTACTAACTTGTGTTTCTTGACTACAGTTAATCGCCTAATTGTTAATGCAACCAATCAAAAATATAAGCAGTCGCCCACAAAACATACAAATATATATATACAAAGTTTAAGTATGAGTACGAACATATGCCAGCCAATTTGAAATTCTAGCTCAACGGAGTGCTAATGCCATAAGCCCACAAGCATTTGCCATAAACCGTTAAGGCGCATCACATAAATCTACATACATATATTTACTCGTAGGCCATCAGCTAAGTAATTCCTGTATATTAAAGTTAATTAGTGAAACTCTAGAATTATGCATTAGTCGAGTAATCGTACATACTATGTGTTTACTAACGACATAGTTAAATAGTTGTAATAAAGCAATCGAACTGTGTAAAACGAACTACTTTTAACTGTTGAAATTAAACTAAATGGCAAACTAGTGAAAGCATAACATAAATATGACAACGTAAAGAAACATAGCAAAACATTACAATAATAAACAAATAGCAACGATAACAAAAGGCAAACAACAGCCCAGGACAATGAATAAAAACACAGTTTGTTGTTGTTTGTCTTTTGTGCAATGATTGTCGCCACAGTATTGTAAAACAACAAACAGCAGGAGAAAATCGAAAGGCAAAAAGGATACGATTAAAATTTTTTATTTAAAAATTAACCCATCCACGGCGTTTTCATTCGGGGGCTTAGCCGTGTTAAAGGCACTGCTGCTCAATTATTTATGCAAACTACAAGGGATCCCCAACAGCTGGCTGCATCCTCCAGCGGCAGTCGAAGAAATGAAAAATAAGCTGCAACGTATGCGTGTGTCACATGTAATCGCTGGATTATAGACAGCACATCGGCCAGGATGGTAGGACGGCAGGATGGCAGGATGGCAGGCGTTGAAAACTGGGTCAGCAAATAAATCGAAAAGGCTTAAAACAAGGAAAAGGAGAGGCCATAGAACAGCCATGGACAGCCGAAGTACGAAGCTTATGCACACCGAGCAGATTGCTCCCGGGCGAAAGGAGTAGGATGATTCCAAAAAGGACACTGTGTTTGTGGGTGATGTGGGTGCTGCGGGTGTAAGTGTGTAAGTATGTGCGCATGTGAGCAACTCAAAACAATTTACATTTGTTGTCCTCCTGATGTGTTACAATAACACAGGACATTCTTCCCTTTCTAATTACTTTCAGCTCAATTCACGTAGGAGAAAACAAATAGAGCTCACGCCCGAGCTATTCTGAAAGTATTTAAAAAGTATGTGGTTGCTTATGCAGCAAAGCCATGGCATTCATTTATTCATCAAGGAATTTCGGATTTTGAAGCTATTTTTATTCGTTTTTCGTTCTATAAAAAATAAATACCTAGCCTCTTTCTTGATTTTTTTTAGGTATTTATAGCTTTGTAAAATGGAGGTAAGTTATTTCTTAAATTTAATTTTGACATGTATCTTCTGTTGGGACTGGAAAGCTTTTAATTAAAATTCAACTAATTAAAAATGGTCTAAATTTGGCATGCCGTTGAGCCCTGAACTTCTGACAGCCCGGCAATCCAGCAAAACCGCAATCGAAAGCGAAGAGTAGGTGTATTCCGGGCGAGCTCATTAATTAACTATTTCCCGATGGGCAGCTGCGCAGCGCCGGAATGCAGCTGTAATTCTATTAAATTGTGCCACAAATCCCAGCTTATCCGCATGCATGTCGGCGCTTGAATTCAAAATAATAATAACAATAATGCGACGCTGCGGCCGCCTTTCGACCGCAGGCAACCAAAATATTTCGCAGCTCGGCCAAATGCAGTGGGACCCCAAAACATGATGGTGTCTGATTTTAAGGCCATTTCGGTGACTGCGTTGGCATAAAAATATTTATACGCTCACTTGAGTCCAAATTGATGCGCGCTGCTTATGCAAATTTCTGGTTGCCTAAGCAACCGCAGTGCCAAGCTGTTGTTGGCTGGATCTCGGCTGGAATAGGCCCGAAAACCCGGACATGGGCATGTAATTTCGCCTGATAGATTCTCCTTAATGGCAGGCATTAGAAACATTTGTTGCCCCGGGCCACAGCCACAGGAACAGGCGGAATAGCCAGGGGTTTTGGCCAGATAATGATTCGGGCCCAGCATGGGGTGCGGCGAAATCAGTTTTAAACAGGCTCCCGGGCGCCACAGACCTCAGTTTTCGCTTTCACATTTTCGCATATGACAAAACATTTTGCACACACGCGTTTGACCGCATTCCTTGCCAGCATTCCCACGCTAATTTGATAGAAATTTTGGATGCCATCAACATACTATACATGTAATCCTCAAATGACAGTTGCACATTGAATGGAAGTATTTTATACCGGGAAGTATCGGCCAATAAATAACCGCGTTTCCAGGAAATCCAACGCCTTCGCTGGCCTATTTTTGCTTGTTTTGTGTAGTACTTCTGAGAAATCAACTTGCAAAGTGTAAAGGGGAATTAATAAAAAGAGCAGACGATTTCTCAAGAACACTTAAGGGTTATTTTTCATCGGAATTATAATTTGTAGACTTAATTCAGGTTTAATTTTTAATTCGTATTTAGGGTCTTTCTGATTTTTATGTTTAGAGGGATAATCTTATACTTTATTTTTAAAGCTCTTTGTGAAGGAACAAAAAGGGTTATAGAATTTAATTCAGAAATAAGAACAGATTTATTATTATTTTTTTTTTATTTTAATTTTAAACAATAAATATTGTGTAAAAAATCCAAAACTAAGAGTTTTTACTACTTAATCTTTAATTTCCCAAAAGGAAGGCAAGTTTTGAGAATATCATTAAATGAATAAAATCAGTGAAATTTACACTTTAAAATGCACATAAATGAACTAATAAAGAAATGTTGTTCCATATAAACATTGTGAAAATTTGAAAAATCTTTATCTACGTCCTGATTACGAACAATTCCAGGGCACATAAAATGGCTAACGTACCATTATTTTTCGAGGGGCGTTCAGTGTCAACGGGTGTTTGCTTCGCGAGGGCGTGGTCACGCCTACTGTGGTCGGGCATAAACTGGCCGCTACAGCAACCGCATGAAATGCCAGTTGAATTATAGACCATTTGAATGAAATTATTTTAATTGCGTAAATCACTTTGCAGCCAAACCGAAAATTCAACAATGCTGCGGTGCATTGGAGGGCGGTGCGAAGTGGGGGGCGTGGCAGGGGTGCTGGGAAAGAGTAAAGTGTGAGCACGCCACTGGCACACTTATTGGCCAATCTCATTTAATGCCGGCCACTTTTGCGGACTTTGTGGGCTAACAAAGCAGAAATTT